ATGATTGTGTATGTGTAAAGTGCATTTATTTGTGGAGGCAGTAGGCTGTAATTGCATCACAAGCCCAGCCATGTTCCCTGACTTCCTCCCCCAATGTGACATCATGGCATACACAAAGGGCAGTGCGGCAGCAGCCACATGTCACTGAGTCAGCTGGGTGACTGCCCGGCTGAACTATGTCGCGTTGCCCAGAGGATGGTTTGAGGGGGGAAGGATTCATTTTTTGTACATAAAATATGTGCTAACATATTTTATGATAGGCCATGACTCCATTTTATTGTTTATCCTATCAATTTTAGTTCGTTTTTGACATATGCAAATTGAAATTTCTTTGCTTACTAAATCGTTCAGCACTGTGAAAAATGCAAACCCATAAGAATTTTCTTATGGTATGTGATATGTACAGTTGACCCTCGTTAATTCGGACTAATAGGGGGGAAAGGGTGTCCGTTTTAGCCGATTGTCCGAATTAACCGATTTAGGGGTTAATATTGCATTATATTTCAGTCATTGTTTTCGTCACAATTTTATCCCACTTTCCAATGTAATACATCCGTAATTTCAGCAAAAATATTACATTTCCGTGAATGTATTATATCAAGCACAGTATGAATAGAATATCATTGTAATATAACAGTATTTTAACCGAAAACTATTAAAAAAAATGAGTAACTTCTCTTGAACATCGGAAGGTTAGGTAAAATCTTGTGTTTTCGTCATGTATTTTATCCTATTTTACATTAAAATACATCACGTTTCAGCAAAACTATTTATTTCTGAGAATATATTCATTCAGGCGCAGTTTAGGTAAAATATACGTGTGATGTAACAGTTTTTTAACTGAAAACGATTCGAAAAACACGTACCCTCTAGCCCTGTTCAAGGAGAGGACTGGGAGAAGCTGTTTGGTGCTGCAGACGATGACAAGGAAAATGATTTGGATGGATTTTAATGAAAATATTCAGAAATATGGTATCGTAGTATTTATTCAAGTCAAATAGGATAGAATATTATTGCAATACAGTGGGCCCTCGGTTAACGAGATTTCGGTTAACGATTTACCTTCCATAAGATTCTTAACTTCGGTTAACGAGCAATCCCTCGATTAACGAGTTTTTTACGAGCCGACTTCAACATGTTTTCGCTTGCATTTGGCGGTCCACCAGCTGTAGTATTAGTCCGCCAATACAGTAATTGGTTTTAGGGCTTAAATTCCTTACTATTTTAGTAAATATCAAGAAGTTTATACTATTCAATAATTTTAAAAGTTTAATATTAACTTTTTTAGTCATTTTAACAATTATTGAACATAATTGAAGGTAAAGAAACTAGTTTCTGGCGTGCCATCCAGCCTGTTAACACACCAGACAGGCGTTAGTCTCTCTCTGTTTTCAGTGGAGGTAACATCTTGCTTGAGACTCTTCAACTAAACGCTTTTTTTCTGTTTCCAAGCAAATTATTGGTCATTTTGAAATATATTTTACATATTGACAATATATAATGCAGTGCAGTGTTGATTTAAAGAAAATAATCTTGAAATACACCAAGAGAACTAAAATTTTATGGGTGAAATGGTGTCATGGGGTGACTTCTCTTCCACCCCAATGCCTTCTCTTCTTCCTTCTCCTCCACCCCCATTCTAATTCCCATCATCATCATCATCATCCAGGAGCCTTCTACATACACAACTCAAAGTAAGTGTACTTTTCTACCTTTTTTGTTGAATTTAGGCAATTTTCGGTGAGCTGGAACCAATTACCCAAAAACCCATTGAAACAATGGTTTCGGTTAACGAGCAACCTGCTGGAACGGATTGTGCTCGCTAACCAAGGGACCACTGTACAACAGTTTTTTTAACTGAAAACCAATCGAAAAACGATTACGGTAACATCTTTTGAACGAAAGAAAGCGAAAGTCATTCTTTTCGTCACGATTTTATCCCACTTTCCACTGTAATACGTACGTCATTTAAGCAAAAATATTACATTTCCGTGAATGCATTATATCAAGCACAGTATAAATAGAATACCACTGTAATATAACAGTATTTTAACAAAAAACTAGTAAAAAAAAACGAACATCGGAAGGTTAGGTAAAATCTTTTGTTTTCGTCATGTATTTTATCCTATTTTACATTAAAAACATCACATTTCAGCAAAACTACTATTTATTTCCGAGAATATATTCATTCAGGCACAGTTAAGGTAAAATATACATGTGATGTAACAGTTTTTTAACTGAAAACGATTCGAAAAACACGTGTACTTTCTAGCTGATACAGCTGGTGGTGCGTCATGCGTCGTTGTAAACAATAGGAGGTTGAAGAAGATTACCGGGTATTATATTAAGTGTGAAATATCGAAAATGTTTTTATTACCGGTATTTTTTGTAGATCAATGAGAACTGTGATACTGTATATGATATGATAGTTAGCCTGAGCTAAGAACTTCAACATAGATTACTGAAAACACATTGTAAGGTAATTTAGCCTATTGTAAGTTGGTGAGCTTTATTTGCTGAAGGAACTGCACAGCTTTTCATTACTAATTGGTACATATTTTACGTTTCCATTGTTTACCGGCAGTAAATGGTAAATATTTTTAATGTCTGAAGCTAAAAGTTGCATCCCCTCCCCCCCACACTAGTGGTGATGTTACATGTTTTATCCCAGCAGTGGGTGGACCAGCATTTTAGCTTGAGGTCCGCGTAGGTAATATTCCTACAAATCTTTAAAAAAAAAAAAAAAAAAAATGTCCGAATTATCCAAAATCCGGATTAAAGGGGGTCCGAATTAACGAGGGTCGACTGTATAGTTAAATGCATTTATTTCCTAAATAAGAAATTTTATGATTTCTAAGGGGGTCATAAGCTCTAAAAAAATTACAGTAGGGTCCGTTTTAAGGACTGGAGCATCTTACTGGCCAGGAAATACGGTAATACAGCCACCGCAACGGAAGTTGAAACCCTTCCCTGTATTGTACGAGTTCTGTTTGTTCTCAACAATATTGCGCCAAAAATCATCCTCAGATCTAGTTGAAATTCTGGAAACATCATCACGAGCTTCTGGACTGCTGAGCGGTCAGTGCACCACCAGTTGTAGAAGAGAGAGCACACAATGTCAATGCCTCGACTTTCTGCGGCCCTTATTTTTCTTCCCTGCTGCGTCACACTAACCTACGTGCATCTGAGTGATCCAGGATGGGCCCCAAACAACTGACAGTTGAGGAAAAGGCTTTAGGAGAGAAAAACGTGCCTATTGTCGAGATTGGTCGGCGTACTTGCCGCTCAAACGCAACTGTCATGCTTCTCCTCGTAGCCACATGGGACCTGCCACCCAGCACCGTTCCGATGCAGAAAGTTCGTCGTGAATCCCCCTCCCCCCAAAGAAGGACTTCTCCTGCCACAGATCGTCTCCTGAAGAACACCTTACTCAAGAACCCGTGACTCACAGTAGTCCAGCTGAAAGAAATGTATCCAAATCTTTTGAAAAGCCTTTCCATTCGTGGGATTCAACACCGCCCACAAAAAGACCTTCACATTCCCAGCCGTGCGGCTGCAATCCAGCCGCTTCTCACCATGCGCCGCAAGAACCTTGCCTTTTCTCAAAAATACCGTCACTGGACTGTGGGGCAGTGGAAGAAGGTTATGTGGTCCGACGAAAGCATTTTTCAAGTCATAACTTCTCATCGTGTGTGTGTCAGGAGGCCCTCAGACCACAGCCACTACAACCAAGCTTACACTGTCAAGACAGTGCAGCACAGTGATTCTGTGATGGTGTGGGGGAGCTTTAGTGGTAACAAGGCGCATGGAGGACTGTAATTCCCCCTAAAAATACAACCATGAATGGCTACCTTGAGGTTCTTAAGATCATTTATGGGACATTTACGAAATTCATGAAACTGACATTTTTATGCATGATGGCGCCCCCTGCCACCATGCCAAGAAAGTTATTGATTTCCTCCGGGAGAAGGGTATTTCAGTGCTAGAGTGGCCAGGAAACAGTCCTGATCTAAACCCCATTGAGAATGTCTGGAAAGGTATGAAAAGTAAGATCAAGGACCGTGGCATTTGCTCTCTGTCTCACTTGCACGAGGAGATTAATAAAGTGTGGACACAGAAGATAGACACAAGTTAATTCGTTCACCTGTGTGAAAGCATGCCGAATAGGTTGTCTAATGTGGTGAAGGCCAGAGGAGAGATGACTGGGAACTATAGATGCATTTCTAGTCTGTATTTTTGTATAAATAAAGAGTAATTGCCTATTTTGTTTCTATCACACCTAGGTCTCAAATTCTGTTGCAGTGACTGTATGTGTATAGAACAGCTATGAAACTAAAGGATCAAAAGATTCTAATTATTTAAGCCATACTTGCAAAACTTTACTTCTATTTAAATATATTAAACAATACATTAAATATTTTAAATAATAATTCTACTTTCTAGGATTTGGTTAATGATTCAAAAACGTTAGTTAACTGTTTCAACTGCTGTGAAAGGTCAAAAAAAAAAAATCACAGCATAAGAAAAACAATATCCAACTCTCTTCTACAAATGGTAGTCCAGCTCACAGCACGGAATTGAAGGGTGGAGCAAATTATCCCTGACAGCCAGAATGAATATTACCCAGTAGTGAATCGGCTATAGAGTCCTTGACACCAACATGATTAACTCTACTAGTCCCAAAGATAACTGTTGGATTCATACAGTTTTGACCGAGTGAGAAGGTTCACCACTCACATTAATATACACAGTACTACCTAATACGAGTGTCCCTATTGTCAAGCAAATCACATCTAATGAGCAATAGTAGATTCTACATAAGATATGCCTAGCACTGGTAAATCAATCTATAAGCTTTAAAAAATGTGACACATTTTTATCAGAAGTAATTAAAAATAATTTTTTCACTTAAACTACATACAGTATGATTTGTGATGATGGCTAGGTTACTCTCAAGTCATACTTGATATTAGTTCACACACCTGAGCTAAAATTCTTACCTGTACCATGTGTCATCGTTGTGCTTGACAGCATAATATTCTCTGACATTAATTACCACTGATTGTTTATTGTTCTTGTCCTCATAGTAATTCTGTAGGTCAGACATTAATGATGATAGCTTCTGGGTCATTTTCCATGACTGGACCTGTATCAACAAAAAAAAAAAAAAAATACAAAATCATGAATAAAAGAATGATGACAAAAACTAATAATAAATAAATAAAGTGAAGGATTGATTCCAAAATTATATACACGTATACAGGAAAGTCTGGTTTTACACGGTTAATTAAACCCATGGAGGTTCGCGTATAAAGCAAATCGCGTAAATAAAATAACAGAACCTATGGGATTAATTGAAATAGAGACTGGGCCGACTGCCAAACTCACCTTTTTTTGGCTTGGGCCAGATAGTTCAGGGCCTCGGGGGGTGGTGGGGGGTCCAGCGGAAGCCATTGTGTAGAAAGAAAGAAAAAGCACTGGCTCCTGGGCACGAGTGAATATACGCGGAGAAAGTGAGACTGAAGCGGCAGCGGAGAGCGTGGGTGGCAGGGGTGGCAAGGATGCCAAGACCAATCACCGCGCACAGTGGAGGGGGTGCGTGGGTGGTAAGGATACGTGGCCCAATCACAGTCTGCGACGTCACCGGCGCGAGTCTGACGTCAGCGCCCAGCACCCCGCCATGCTACTTGCCACTTACATGATGGAATTTACCGTGTAAATAATAATTATCTCTTCTGACAGGTGCTGCGTAAATGACCTTCCGAGTAAAAAATATCCGCGTAAAACTAGACTACAGTCAACCCTCACTTTACGCGGTCCCACATTCCGCATTGCCCTGCCAGAACCCAGGATGCTCACATTCCATGGTGGGTGTACCCCTTTACGCGGGTGAAGTATAATATTTTTATTTAGCTCATAAAATTCATACAAATTATCCGGCCAGAATATAATTTACATTGCTGGAATTCTTACAATTTGATGATCATTTTGAATAAAAACATCATAGATTTTGCATTAGACATAAAATTTTTAGATATAATGTTTACTCTGAGTAAATATGTTATCTTTTGTGCAAAATATATGACATTTATATTCAAAATATTCCTGGTCTTACAAAGAATCCAGCAATGTCAATTATATTATCCTAACTTTAGTCTGATTTATTATTTATTACTAAAAAGGTAAACAGTCTGGTATTCCCACACATTTATCTGGTAGGGAGGGTTGGTGGGGGGAGGGAGGGACCGGCGACCGACCACCTGGCATGTGTGAAGAATATTTTTTTTTTATTAACTGAAGATATTTGTTTTAGCTTATAAAATTCATAAAAATTACCCGGCCAGAATATAATTTACATTGCTGGAATTCTTACAACTTGATGATCATTTTGAATATAGTAAACATCATATATTTTGCATTAGACATAAAATTTTTAGATATAATGTTTACTCTGAGTAAATATGTTATCTTTTGTGCAAAATATATGACATTTATATTCAAAATATTCCTGGTCTTACAAGGAATCCAGCAATGTCAATTATATTATCCTAACTTTAGTTTGAGGTATTATTTATTACTATACCTGGTTTTCCCCCAAAAATTTCTCAGAGGGAAGAGCCAGTGAGTGTAGTGTGAGAAGAGGGGGAGGGAGTTGAGTTCATTATTTGAATGGACATTAACTTGGTGACTGTATTTCTCTATTTCTCTTAAGTATTAATTGTGTGCATGTACCATCATAAAATTAAGATGTTATTTTTACTAGAACATAGGTATTGTGTTGGAAAAAGTGGAGTTTGATGGTCAGCTGGCCTCTATTTCATTTAATCCCATATGTTATGTTATTCACTTTACGCGTTTCTCACTTTCCGCGGTACCCTGTGGGTTACATTAACCGCGTAAATTGAGGGTTGACTGTATACTGTATGTATGTATGTATATATATATATATATATATATATATATATATATATATATATATATATATATATATATATATATATATATATATATATATATATATATATATATATATATATATATACACACACACACACATACACAGTAGAAGTCCAAAAATCCGGACTGCTTGGGGATGGGTCGGTCCAGATTTTCGGGATTCTCAGGCAGTATTTTTAAAATTCAAATTTAAGGAGAAATAAAGAAGAGATTAACAGGTACAGCAATATCTAACAGTCTAATACCATGATGAGTCTTGAAATTCCTAAGCCATCCATCACTAAATGAGCACTATGAGTCAATGTTCATTTGCTACTTAAAATACTTTGCTTTGGCAATAAGCATCGGCCCAGAAATTGCCATACCTTCTGATCGTTTTAACAAAAACCATTCGTGCAACACTTTATCAAGATTTTCTAATTTTGGCCGATGTAAACTTTTTCTTTCAGCAATTTTATTGTAAGGCTCAGAAGAAGCTGTGAATTCTAGAATTTTATTCTTTGCCTATTTTATATCATAAATTGTAGACTTTCCAATGTTGTATGTTTCCATTAGAACAGTATTGCTCACACCACGTTCTAGTTTCTTAATTATTTCAAGTTTGTCACTCAATTTCAACGTGTTCTTCTTTCTCTTCACACAACGAAGTTTATCTACTTTAGGAGCCATTATTATGGGCTTGTACTCTGTAAATGGAAAAAGTAGGACTCAAAATTACATACGTTGTCACAGTTTGATTGCTCGTTTTAAAGTGGCGACCACGTGGGAGCTTGTTGTCGCTGTGCAGCTGTGGCGCTCGCGCATGCACAAATACACACAATAGCCCGCTAAATTAAAAAAATTTGAGTCTTCAAAAAGTCCGTATGTATATAGTTGGGTCTTCATTTATGCGGTCAATTGAACCCGCGGAGAACAGCGTAAATAGAGAAACGCGTAAATGAAATAACAGAACATATGGGATTAATTGAAATAGAGACTGGGCCAACCCCCAAACTCCACTTTTTCCGACACAATACCTACGTTGTAGTAAAAATAACATCTTAATTTTATAATGGTATGAACACACAATTAATATTTAAGATAAATACAGTCGCCGGTTAATGTCCATTCAAATAATGGACTCAACTCCCCCTCCCCCCCCTCTTCCCACGCTCGCTGGCTCCTCCCTCTCTGAGAAATGTTGGGTGAAAACAGAAGGCTTACATTTTTAGTAATAAATAATACCTCAGACTAAAGTTAGGATAATATAATTGACATTGCTAGATTCCTTGCAAGACCAGGGATATTTTGAATATAAACATCATACTTTGCACAAAAGATAAAATTTTTGCTCTTTCTAATCAAAATTCTTACATTAGATCTAAAATTTGTATGTCTAATGCAAATTCCATGATGTTTATATTTAAAATAATCATAATCTTATAAGAATTCCAGCAATGTAAATTATATTCTGGCCGGGTAATTTGTATGAATTTTATGAGCTAAAACAAATTATACTTCACCCGCGTAAATGCCAAATTTACCGCGTAATTAAAGCATTTCATTCCAGCAAGGCACCGCGTAAATGACCAAACGGGTAAACAAAAACCGAGTAAATCCAGACTCAACTGTATGTATGTATGTAATAATAATAATAATAAACGGTTTATTAATAGAGTTGCAGCCGGTGGCTGAAAATATACAGACTTACATTAGATTTAGACATAATGATATAATATGCATTGAATACATTTACAGGGCTATAAAGTACATAAATCAGGAGTTGTTTATTATTTTAACAATAGATGGGATGGTGCTGTTCTTATATCTATCGGTGCAGGCTCTTATGGGATGAATTTTGTTGTAGTGGCGGACTGCGCGAGGTGGGTGGGGGGCTGCAGGTGGCAGGAGGTGGCGATGGCGAGGGTGGTGCAGTAGTCCACGGCCAAACCTTTCCAGTGCTTGGTGGTGGAGGTCACCGAGGGATGGCATTTCCAGGGTGGAGAGAGCGTTGGTGTAGCCGGAGTATTCTGCGCCGAGCATGATTCTGCAGGCCCTTTTCTGTACCTTCTCTAGCTGACGTTATTGGGTGGAGTTGAGAGAAGATGACCAGGCTGGTGACGCATACGTTAGTTTGGAGAGAATAAAGGCGTTGTAGATGGTCCTCAGCTCTGGCGTGGGTGTACCAAGTGACCTAAGTCTTCATAGCATGTAGAGACGGTACGAGGCTGCCTTGACTGTGTTATTTACATGGGCCTTCCAGTCAAGTTTGTTGTCTATAGTTACACCCAGGAGTTTGGCAGACTGCACCAGCTGGAGAGGATGGGCACCCACTGTGACTGCTGGGGCTTGCACTGGAGTGGTGGCGGTATTGATGTGCATGACTACGGTTTTGGTGTGTTTCTATATATATATATATATATATATATATATATATATATATATATATATATATATATATATATATATATATATATATATATATATATATATATATATATATATATATATATATATATATATATATATATATATATATATATATATATATATATGCTGATAACCACAAGGAAACAAGAAAAAACGAAGTCCCCAAGCGCTTTCGTGTAATTCACATCTTCAGGGGTGAGTACAGACTAAGGAGTAATACTTGACAAGGCTAATATATACAGTAGAGGAGAGTGACATCAAGTCCCTAGGGGACAGCAGGTGTCCACAATGTTCCGGTCATAAGGCAGTGACCCTTACTAATCTTCTTAATAAAAAAATTTACCATGCCATCTCTAAGCACAGCAGCTGTCAGTAGTCAGGTCATGGGGCAAGATGACCCGCCGATTCAGTATAACGTCGTCACGGACTACTTTGTACAGCACATCACCCTCTCTCATCTTGGCGCGTGATGCTCTCATCCGCGGAGTGCCACAGCATCCCTAAGTGTCGCCAGTCTTTGTTAAGCTATCACAGCGTTCATGCGTGTTCAAGTGTTTTTGCTCTTAATACTGTACTCTAACCATTTGAAATGGCTTCCAAGCACCCATCAAGTGCTACTGATGCTAGTGTTGTGAAGAAGCAACATAAGAACATTAGCCTTGCTACAAAAATGGAGGTTTTAAACCAGGAGGAGCCACCCGCTGTGCCTCAGTGACTCGCCACCCCCCTCCTCCTCCTCCGCTCCACCACCTCCATCCATCAGCGAGTACAATACAAAATGATTTAGTTTATTTATATACAGTGAACCCTCGAAGATCCCACCTGTCCGGAAAAACAGATTGTCCGGATTTTCCGGCGAATAATCAATGATATAAGAAACACAAAAAATACAGTACTAATGTACAGGGCGTCCTCGCTTAACGTCGGGGTTAAGTTCCTGAAAATGCGACGTTAAGCGAAACAACGTTATGCCGATCAATTTTCCTCTTAAGAAATAGATAAAATACGGAATTTACTTTCCTGAGCCTCACCTTTGCCCCATGAAAAAAGTTACATATACAGAAAATCATTGCCATTTCTATAGAGAATAGTATATAGAACTACAGTACTAAGTTTGTATTGGTACTCACCAATGGTTGGAGGTGGTAGAGTAAGTGTGTGGTGGGTAGTGGAGAGGAGGAGGAGGATGGCGGGAGGGGAGGAGTATGGCGGGAGCGGAGGAGGGTGGCGAGTCACGAAGACTCTGCGCCGAGCCGAGAGAGCGTAGCACGGCCAGACAAGAGCGGGTGATGCGCCGTAGAAAGTAGTCTGTGACGACGCAAATCGACGTAGTATCGGATCACCGTTAAACGAATTTTTGGTCTCTAAAGTTCAGCGAAGTAGAATCGAAACAACGTTAAGCGGGATGATGTTAAGCGAGGACTTAATGTAGTGATAAACAAATTGCCGTATAGAAACCATGCATTTACCTATGGTAACATAATAAGAAACACTGTATCATTACTAGAGTGAATGAAATAATATTCCCACAAACAACAATTGTCAATTCTGTTTATGTTTCCCACCTCCTCGGGCACCTGTGTCCAAGCAACTGACGGGCCAAGCAGCGCTCACAGGCCTAAAATATTCTTTGCTCTGGGTTGGGAATGTTTCTTAGGGAAACTCCTAGGAGGCTTCTTAGCCCAGAACCCCCAAATTTTTTGTCTGGATCTTCCGAAATCCGGATTTCCCAGGTCCGGATCTTCCGAAATCAGGATTTCCCAGGTCCGGATCTTCCGAAATCAGGATTTCCCGGGTCCGGATCTTCGAGGGTTTACTGTAGAATATATACTATTTTCTATAAATATGCCATTGAATTTCTGTATAAGTAATGTATTTTATGGGGCAAATGGAGGCTGGGGAACATAACCCCCGTATTTTATCTATTTCTTATGGGGAAAATTGATTCCATTAAAGTCGCGGGTTTCAGGAACGGAACCACAACGTTAAGCGAGGACTGCTGTACCAACAGCATTAAACCACGAAATATTGAGAATAGGACACAAATTTTAAAGAGAAAATGATATAGAATACCTTATGACCATTAAAAGCACAGAGCTACTCACAGCAAAATTAGATGGATTTGCAGCATAGGTGACAAAGACATCAAAGAAGTCTCCAACACGAGGAATTTCTTGGGGGACCAGGGATACTGCAGTCTTTTGCCTTGAACTTAAGTCAAATGGAGATTCTGGTCTGGAGATTCTTTTAAGATGAGGTGAAGCTGGTGCAGACCCAAACAAGCTACCTGTATTCATGGAGGATGGACCCGAGTTGCCTTTTAAGGAAATTATGTAAAGTATTGAGCCAGCGTGTTCTTCTCACAAGCAAACATAGACAATAACACCGACACACACAACCAGTATTAGCAGTATTACTGTACATTTAATCATTTTGCTTTTCTGTTGCCTAAAAATGTTTGGTTTTATCCTCATTCAAAGAAAACATGAATAAACTTTACTGTTGCTTAAAAATAACTAAGTTTTATTTTAACCAAAAGGTATATTATATGTGCTGCAAATGCTAAAGTGACATGTTTCCCACTTGGGAAGTTAACCCCACCTACTACGGTAAACCACAAGGAAAATAACACTATAATCCCACCCCATCATATGCAAAAGCCTCTTTGGAATACGTTAGATATTAGGGTAACTGCTCTCTACCCTTTACTCCAGCACTTCCTGTATGAGTGAAGCAAGCTATCAAAGAGGGAGGAAAAGAGGAAAAAAGTTCCAAGTGCTGAGCTGCACATACTGTGATGGAACTTTGCACCCTGCATCACCATTAACATCCTTATTATTATTATAATAATAATAATAATAATACTTGTAATAATAATAATAATACAGTGGTCCCTCGGTTAACGAACGTTTCGATTAACGAATTAGCTCTCATAAGGATTTTCAGTTTGATTAACGAACAAAACTTCGATTAACGGAAACCTTACGAAAAGCACATTTTGTTGTGAGCATCAACTGATCAGCTGATCGGCTAGTCTGCCAATACAGTAATCTGTTCTATGTTTACATTCGTTTCCAGTGGAGTAAATATCAAGAAAGTTGGTCTCTTGAATTTTTTTGCATTTTTTATATTAAAATTATAATTATTGGTCATTCTGAAATTTAATTAACATATTGATAATATACAGTGCAGAAATTATTAGGAAACACGAAGAAGGCATTAGAACCAATGAACTCTGTAAAGAATATGGCATGTCATCATTGACTGCCTCTACAATCAGCTGTTTGATATGTCAACAAAGCTCCCAGGAATACAACATACACACCTCAAAGTAAGTTTAAATACAGTATTCTGTTTTATATTTATTATTATACAATATACTGTACAGTACAGTACTGTATTTAGTTTATATTTAATGTTTTGTTAATTCTATTACTATTATACAGTACTTTGTATATATACTTTTTCTGTGAGTTGGAACCAATTATCCAATATCCCATTGAAATAATAGATTCGGTTAAAAAAATTTCGGTTAACGAATAACTCTGTGGAACGAATTGTGTTCGTTAACCGAGGTACCACTGTAACAATAATAATACAGTAATATCCCCGTTAGCCAGAATTCCTCAAACCAGGAACTCTCCGATAGCTGGAATTGAAATTTTCTCGGAAAATTGTTCTCAAACCCGGAATTTTCTGGAAATTTCTGGCTTTGGGAAAGATTTTCTGAGGGGTACATTTACCGGAAAATTCTGAGAAAATTTTCCAGATACCCAGAAAATTCCAGTTGTGGGGGAGATTTTTTCTGGGTTTGAGAAATGAAAATCAGGCGCATTTTCTGGAAATTCCGAGAAAATTTTTCCATTACCCGGAAAATTCCAGGGATGAGGGATATTTTTCCAGGTTCGAGAGATTATGTAATCAGCAATTTCTGGAACCTCCAAGAAAAATTTTCTCGTTACCCGGAAAATTCCGGGGATTTCTTTTCCGGCTTTGAGAGAGTCGTCTCATTAGCTGGAAATCTCTCATTCCCGGAAGTGCTCTGCACCAGTTGTTCTGGCTAATGGGGATATCACTGTAATACAGTAATACTAATAAGTAATAAAGAACCATAAAAACTATTTAAAATAAACTCTTCATATAATTTTACAATTGGATATTGTATTACTGTATGTACTCTTAGGAATGTAAAGATAATTACCATGACTACTGGATGACTGGCTTGTAGCGGAAGACCGTCGGGACCTCGTTCGGGTGGGAGACAATATTACCTCCTTTTCAAAATTGTTGTTGTTTCTGTCACCATCACAACTACAAAAAAGAACGCACAATATAAATAATCATGTACAGTACAATAATTTACCCAGCATAATAACCCCCAAAAGCTTTAAAGTTTACATTTTCTTCCTTTGCTGCCTTCAGTTCCTTACTTACCATCAGTACATCAAACACCACACCTACCACCATCAAAGAGTTTAATTGAAATATAATTGTCTTTTTTTCTTATTTATTCTTTCAAGCCTCATCTTACCTTATGGAAGGTGGGAGGAAACCAGACTAAATACACATATTTTGTTGATTCAGTATCTATCATTCATTCACTCCTAATACTGTGAAAGATGTGTTCAGCTAAGGTACTCATCTCCTTTGCCATACATACCTAAAAAGAGAAGTGTCCATGCTTAGAGTTGCATTGATAGAAACCAACTCATTCTGCGGTTGAATCCTCTTAAACAACTCCACCATGGGAGGACCACCATTTGTCCCAGCAGTATGCACCTGACACAAATAAACATTAATTGTACAAGGAAATGAACGTAATCCCAATCGACATCGTTTTGTTTTCACAAAATTCTATAAATAATAATAATATTCATAAAAACATCAATACTAATACCGTATATAAATAAAGACTACCACAAAGTTGAGACAATGTGAGAGCTTTTAACTTTACACAATGCAGTATGTAGCTAAATACTGAAAAAATGTTTGTTGCTAAGCTGAGATTTGTGGGAATTTTTATCTTTACAAAATACAAAAAAGAATTTCCCAAAAACTTTTAGGAGTTCTAAGCAAAATATCAAAACCATTGCACCATGTAAATGTTTCCAGTCTCCATGTATACAGATACAGGATGCCACAGAATGTTTTTGAAAAACATTTACACTTATTCCCCCCTTTTTAACGAGGATTTCGTTCTTGGAAATCGTTGTGAATACTGAATTTGTGAATATGGAATTTAATACCTTATAGAAAAAATAGGGTATGGTACCATGGCTGCCAAGATTATTATATTTGTACCATGGCTGCCAAGATTATTATATTTGTACCATGGCTGCCAAGATTACTAGATTTGTCAACATTATAGGTTAGAAATGATGTTTCAGAGATGATGTTGATACTGTATTTATATAGAGTACATTTTCGGTAATAAATTTTAACAATTAAATGTGTTCTCTATGTATAATTCAATTCTGAATATGTAAATAAAAATGTAAACACGTACTTCCCATGGGACATAAATCACTAAGGATATTATAGTCTACCCTAGTAAAACCGTTTTCTCTAATACAGAGACTAGAAATAAAAGAAAATATAATATAAATCAATTAACTAAGAAATCTGAAGTGCATGGGTGTGTATGTGTGGGAAGTGAACATGTGTGTGCAGGTAGTGAGCACTGAGCTGTAACTGCGTCTCAACTTGCCAATCGGCAGTCTCCACCCACCCAGCTCCTTCCCCGGGTATGACGTCACAGCACACACACACACACACACACACACACACGCATGTCTCTGAGTCGGCTGGGGATTGCCCAGTTGATCTGTGTCGTATGATGGCTCGATTTTGCTACTTTTGCACTAACACAACTGATCAGTGAATAAACCAGGGCATATGGAGATGCATTATACAACTACAATAATATTCATTAAGTTCTGATAAATACGCTTGAGAGATGGCGAGTGCTGGCAACACTATTCATGAGTGGGGATCAGCGGGACCGATCAGTTGTTACCGCTCCGTAAACAAGAGACTGAGAATATATTACACCACCATAGCTCATCTGGTAAATTAATTATTTTTTTTATAATGTTTTATTAACCCGGCACCAAATTAACATTACCCTAACATAACCTAACTTTACTTAACCTAATCGTTACCAAACCTGACTTTGCTTAACATAATCTTTACCAAACCTTATCTTTACTTAACCTAATCTTTACCTAACTTAACCTTTACCTAACAGGTAATTTTTCAGGACTAACCAGTGGGCGAAATTGAGCGAAAACGAATATGTAAATGCCGGATTTTAATTTTTTTTTGTGGACACTGTTGTAGTTTGTGCAAATGTGTTAAAAAATGGATATTACTTAAAATTAATATAACTTAACATTTGCTGGTATGAAAAACAAACCTTATGGGAAGCATTCTGTATCCCCGAATTTCTGTAAACCGAGTGTTTTGTAACCTTTTTTGCCCTCCCAACACAGTGATTGACTGCATGGATGGGTGCTCATTCCAAGCATGGCAATGTACAGTCCCCCCCCCCAAAAAAGTATTGTTATATTTTCCGTCGCTACACTTTGAAACACTAGTTGAAATGCTTTGGTATGATCCCCAGTACAGCTCCTCCCCGACTTATGACCTACTCGACTTACGACCACCAGCACTTACGACCTGCCTCAGTTGTACCAAAATTTGGTCAAATTGCGTATTTTCGAGTCCCAAAATCAGTACACAGATAAAATTTTTGTTTGTAATTCACTTTAAAATGGCTGGCAAGCTTAAAAGTGAGTGTTTTGTGGTGCTGAGAAGAAAAACAGACCCCCATTTTAGATTTTCTATGTATTATTTAAGCATTTCCGACTTACAACCTGGATGTCGGTCCCTGTCTAGCAACAGCTAGAGATGGGGGCAGGATTGGGGGAGGGAATCGTCCTAGTATGACATACTAGATACTTCAATATAACAAGAAATCCATTAAGCTATATTAATGGATGTATCATGTTAGATTGAAGCAAGGCATATATATGTAAACAAGCCACTGACTGATGATTACAATAGCACTGAAATATACATTAAATGGACATGTTTCGGAACATCATAACTGAGACTGACAGACCTCAAAATGGACATTTCACCATTATGTTGTTGTAGTAACGCAGTTCATTCATACTGAGTTTCACAACATACCTATTCACATTGTTCACAATGTCTGATTTATGAAGTGTAAATTAAGCAAATAGTACTTGGTATTAGAATGAACAGCTACAGCAATATACAATATACTGTATTAGCTTAACACCAAAATAAGGTTTCAAATCAAGGGATCATGCAGGCAACAGAACCTCTCATCCACCTTTAGTAAGACATTTGTAGTTGTAAGTTTCAGTTTGACACATGTATCATGGCGCCTAACCCAGTTTGCCATGCTATCTCAGCATTACATATACAGTATTACCTCGCTTTACACGGCTTCACTTGGTTTCACTTTCCGCGATTTCTCATTTACGCGACCTTGCCAGAACCGGACTTTCACTTTCCACGGTGCATCTACTCATATACGCGGTGAAGTATAATTTTTTTTTTTTTATTTAGCTCATAAAATTCATACAAATTACCCGGCCAGAATATAATTTACATTGCTGGAATTCTTACAATATGATGATCATTTTGAATATAAACATCATGGATTTTGCATTAGACATACAAATTTTAGATCTAATGTAATAATTTGGTTTACACAAAGCAAATATTTTATCCTTTGTGCAAATATATGAAGTTTACATTCAAAATATTTTTGAATCCAGAAAATAATTATATCCTATTTAGTCTGAGTTATTAAATAAAAATATACTATTTTTTCCCAAAGCTTCTCTGAGGAGAGGGAGGGAGGGACCGACCCAGCTAGGGTGGAGTATTTTGATTGACAGATAGTGTCCTGAAGAATATTTTTTTTTTATTAACTGAAGATGTTTGTTTTAGCTCATAAAATTCATACAAATTACTTGACCAGAATATAATTTACATTGCTGGAATTCTTACAATATGATGATCATTTTGAATATAAACATCATGGATTTTGCATTAGACATACAAATTTTAGGTCTAATGTAATAATTTGGTTTACACAAAGCAAATATTTTATCTTTTAAGCAAAATATATGAAGGAATCCAGAAATGTCAATTATATTATCCTAACTTTAGTCTGAGGTAGGAGCCAGTGAGCTGGGAAGAGGGGGGAGGGGGATTTGAGTCCATTATTTGAATGGACATTAACCTGGCAACTGTATTTCTCTTAAATATTAATTGTGTGAGCATACCATCATAAAATTTAGATGTTATTTTTACCACAACATAGGTATTGTGTCGGAAAAAGTGGAGTTTGGGGGTCGGGCCAGTCTCTATTGGAATTAATCCCATATGTTCTGTTGTTCACTTTACGCGGTTTTCACTTTACGCGGTTTTCACTTTCCGCGGTACCCTGTGGGTTTAATTGACCCCGTAAATCAGGTACTACTGTACCCTCGTTGTGAAGGGGTTTGCTGTGTGATGCGATGGGTAATCAGATATGTATATTTATCAAGTATTTTTGTGCTTACCCTGAGAAGCAGAGGTACATCTTCTGGTGATAATTCTATTAGGCGTTGACAAGCTCTAATAGTCCACTGAAGTTCTGTGGTTGATGGGACATTGTGTAGACGACACTGCAAAGCCTAAGAGTTAAAGAAAATATTAGATGAAAATACTAAAATTTCATTTAAGTTCAAGATACAGTACATTTTATTTATCATGTACACCTTTTCCTGCAATTAAAGCAGGGCAGTGCATGCCAAATCTTCTCCTAATATTAGGATAATATGAGGATAATATTGATCTCCAGCATGGGCCAAACAACAATGCTTCAAACTTGTGCTGAATTCTGCTTCACAACAGCAGATAGGGTATGTGAAGACAAAATTGCTTGGCTGTAATCATAAAAAGAATGCAAGAAATATTAAGTGTTGACTTAGCAGTGTACACAAGGGAGAGAAGAGGAATAAAATATGAAATAAAATACTGAATAATGATTAGAAAAATTACAAAATCTTCAAAGGATAAAGGAATTTAAGATTGTCACACACAATCAAGTCGTGCTGCAGTATGCCTGTCAGTGACTAAACAAGTGTCAACTGGAAAAAAGAACAATTTTCAAACTTCTTTCTCAGATGTACATTTTGGGTACCAATAAAAATGTATTCACTTCATGCTACAAGGCCATTTATATTTATTCAAACAAAGTTCCACATATACATGTTTTTCAAAATACTGTATACCTGTATTAAGAACAATTCATAAACACCATTTAGAAACAAAGTCAAAATAATGATCACATCCCTAATCTAATTACACTTTATATCTTTACCACTTAAAAATACCCAACAATTTGCTGTTTATATGTACAACTTAATTTATTTATTTATTTACTCACTCCTTGTACACCTCACTTTACACTTTTATTCTCCTCTAAACTGACTACACAAATTATGCAGATAAAATTGGTGAAAAAACTTCCTCTAAATGCTCTCCATTACTGAAAGTTCAATATTAAGTGAGCCCCTGTGAAACTCTTATTCCTAAATATATATGATTTGAAAAATGCATGGTTCCACAGTTGTTTAAGGCTGACTTTATACTAATTACCAAACACATAAAGAGCTTTGTGAAGATAAAATTATGTCTATTCATTCTGTTTCCCTTACAATCATAAATGTATTACAGTAATAAAAAAGCCTTATTGATGAAGCTTAAAATAATTTTTGGTTCTATGTATTACACAAGTCAAATGTAAATCTTCATATGCTTAACCTTATACAACCCATTCAACCAAAATATAAATGAGTACAGTATTGGCAAAGTAAACTGCAGGCCTGAAACCATGAATTCTTCATAATTATTTAAGATACACAAAACCTTTTTCACTACGTGTTTCTTTCATTACTATACTACAGTGGTCCCTCCATTAACTTGCGGTTAAATTTACGAGATTTTGGTTAACGAATTAGCTCCGATAAGGATTTTCAATTCTATTAACGAGTACAACTTCTATTAACGACAGTGTTACGAGAAACACGCTTTGGTGTGCGCATCAGCTGATTAGCTGATCGGCTCGTCCGCCAATACAGTAATTGGTTCTATGTTTCCATTTGTTTCCAGTGGAGTAAATATCGAGAAAGCTGTGCTCATTAATATTTTTTCATTTTTTAATTGAAATTATTGGTCATTCTGAAATTTAGTTAACATATTGATAATATATACTGTACAGTACATGGAACAGTTTTTGTGTGCCCATCAGCTGATCGAATCACCCACCAACACTTCTCAGTTAACTTTGTTTACAGTGGAGTGAACATCGAGTTTGTTGGTCTCTTCAATATTTTTGCATTTTTACATTAATATTATTGGTAATTCTGAAATTTACTTAACATATTGATAATTTACAGTGCAAAAATTAAGAAATACGAAGAAAGCATTAGAAACAATACACTGTAAAGAATACTGTATGGCATAACAGCCTCTACAATCAGCTGTTTGCTATGCAAACAAAGCCGCCGGGAATACGACATACACACCTCAAAGTAAGTTAAAATACAGTATTGTATTTTTTTTTTACAGTATTTTGTTTACATTTAAGGTTTTGTTAATTCTATTACCGGTATACAGTAGGGTGTGACCGTTGCCCTCCAAAAAGCAAAAAATGGTCCTACAATGCTGTTCAAAGTTTTAGTGTTGTGTATTTATCTAAGAAACACATCTGTAAATTTTCTTGGAGATCGGTGCATGTTTGAGCTAGCACCGTCGGCTTTACAAAATAACAAGGAATATTATTATCTAATGAACAAATTTAGTGGAATTTCTTTTATTCGACTTATAAGATATACTAACACCAAGCAAATGATCGATCGTATCAATCTTAATACCCCTAAAACAATATTATAGATAAGTATGAAATACAATAATCCCAATAATTGCATCTCTAGGTTCAAGACCCATTTCTATCAACTGGCGTACAATGAAAAAAAGAAATACTACTACCCCGCAATGCCTGGAGTGTTTGAGGAGCACCAGCAGGAGATGGCTGACTTCTTCCGTGAATCTCTAGCGACTACAAGGAGCTGGTAGAGCTTTGTCTGCTGCTTGTAACTAAAGGATCCGAGCCAGTGAACTTCACGATGGTCTACCCGGCGCACTTCACAAAGCTGGGTGGATGGCTAAACTGCTCTATACCCTCAAGATTGTTCTTTTGTCAGGCCAGATCAAAGAGCAGTTTCCCAAAGCCGAGGTTGTGACTAAAAGTCAAATCAGCAAGTTAGAACGGTTTGCTGTGTTCACTGTCGCTGTTTATGTCCCATGGTGGATTGTTTGACCCGTTCCAGCAAGTGCGCCATTGAATGAGTTGCATTTGGTCGAAACCTTGGCTGAATTTGCCCCATATGACGCCACAATAGTTGACAAAGCATGTGTGGCACTCGGTAGACACACTTGGTACCTAACTGAGGAGTTGGCCCCACTGGCTTTGTTCTCTTCCCAAGTACAAGAAAGGACAAAAGAGATGAGGAAGGCCTTTCTTTGCCATGAAGGCACTGAAGTTACTAAGAGAGTGGGGCTCAATCATGGGGGCTATGGAAAGCCATATCTTCCCCCTGTCCCAGAAAAAGGCACTGCCCTGGTGGACCTAATTGGGCCTGACTCAAGCCGGTTCTTCACCATTTTAGGCATGCCCTATCAGTTTCTCCACAGTCCAGCCAGTGAATGGGTGGATCATGACGACTACCTGAACATGAAACGGGTTGTGGACAAGCTTCAGGTCGTCAATGAGGCTGCAGAGCGTGGTGTAAAACTTTGCCATGACTTTCTTAATGTTGCCTGTGATGAGGCAGCGCTTTCAAGAAGTCCTTCAAGTAGTTGAAAATGAAAGACTCCGCGTTCTTAATCAGCGCAAATGATCATCTGTTTCCGAACAGAAATCATGGTTTCTTGCTCTAGAGAAATAATACCTTGTGAATTTGTGAATATATGATAAAACCCCTTAATGTACCAGGAGAGAATAAGAATGATTAACTTTTTTGTGTTAGTAATAACAGCTTTTAATTAAGACAGGCAAATGATTTGTGTTAATATCCCTTATGATGGTTGTGTAATCTCATATAGCATAGGCGCGTATACCGTATAAGCAAAATCGCTATTTTTCAAATTGCTGGTGCTCACTCAAATATGCACGAGTCTTCAAAAAATTGCACGTGGGTATTTTTTATGTCGATATGCAACACCAAAATTTTGAACAGCATTGTAGGACAAAGTTGGGGCAACTGTCACACCCTAGTATACAGTACTTTGCATGTACTTTTTCTGTGAGTTGGAACCAATTACCAAATATCCCATTGAAATAATACATTCAGTTAACAAAATTTTCTGTTTACAACTGACTCCGTGGAACCAATTGTGCTCGTCAATCGAAGGACCACTGTATATATTTTTCCAATCCCTTTGAAACTATTTATCTTTTCATAGACATCTAAATGGTCTTTACTAATTCCTATACAGTAAAGCCTCGAATAATGACGGTAATGTGTCCTCCAATATTGCAGTGTAAGGCGAATCATCGTATCATGAATCATTAATTACCATTAAAATAAAGCAATAATAATGAGTTGCGTTACCAAGTGTGACCTTTTCATATCTTTTGTGTGGCTTTTTAGCCTCTTTCCTCCCAAAACAATAAAATTAATGAAAATTGCAAACTATATTCTTTAAATAATGTTTCTGAATCCTCCTTTTAAAATATAAATGAATAATAATATGGTCACACAAGAGGAGATGGGACGCCATTGCTTTCGTTTGTGTTTACAGCCGGGAGTATGGGACGATGGTTCAACACGAGAAAATTCAGAAAATAAGACCCTGGTTGTAGCTGTATTAAAATGAATGAAAAAAAATGATTATATATGTTTTAAGTAATGTTATTTAATGTTAATAAATGGAGCAATAGAAGTAGCTAACCACTAATGGTAAAGAAAAAATAAGTGAGATGGATTGGGAATGCCAACATATACATGAGCAGATAAGGATACTGCGTCATTTATCGTTTAAAGAATATGTACAAAAGATTCATTATTGTTATTACTGGTATGTATTTGATTGAATTAATCTTTATATAAGCAAAATTAACAATACAATTCATTAATAATACGTAGAATATTAAAACACACAAGAGGATAAGAGATGGCATTGTTGTTGTCAGTGTTTACACCCATAATGTCAGTTATCCACCTGAAACTGAAGAAAATAAGACCCTGGTTGTTGTTGTGATAAAATTAATGTAAAAAATATATGTTTTAAATAATGTTATTTAATGTACATTAGAAGTATCCACTGATATTCAAGAAAAAGTGAGAGCGGTAGTGGAATGCCAATGTATACAGTACATAAGCACTCAAGGAAACAGTCATTTATCTTAAGAATATGTACAAATGATTCATTATTGTTTATTACTGAATATGTATTTGAATGAATTAATGTATATGTATGTGAAATGAACAATGCAATTCATTAATAATACGTAGAATATTAAAACACACACGAGGAGACAAGACGGCATCATTTTCGTGAGTGCCGATGGTTCTACATAAGAAACTGAAGAAAATAAGACCCTGGTTGTAGCTGTAGTGACCTAATG